TGAAAATGAATTGAAATTGAAAATTGCCCGATGATTGATAATTAAAATTCGATATAGATTAGGAAAATGTCCAAAGAGATTGATGGTAAAGTTTCAGCGTGTGTTGCTAATTATACCGATTAGTCAATTCGTTGATTCATTCGATTTATTTTTCACGATATTGCGAATACGATATATTTTAGAAACCAGCGTAACGAACGCTGTTAAATCGATTTACATTAGAATGCAAGTGAAAATGCTTTAGGAAACATCGTTGGTCGGAATAAAGATGTTTACGTGTCTATTAGCTGCTATCATTTCTACGACGGCGGTTTATTACACGATACTGACGCCGAGGAAAGACATTTTACCGTTCGCTTAAACTATTCGTCAAATAACCATTCATTTTCTCCGAATGGGAAAGAAGATTAGTAAGTTTTTCTTCGTTTATTTCGCTATCGCGTCGAAAATTTTACTGACAGGGAATGCGAACTTTCTGGACAAATTCTAAATTTCTAAATTTTGTCGTTGCGATTGCTATTATAGATTCCGAAATTCACCAGACTTTAAACTTTAAACTTTCACTGTTACAAATTTCTGAGTATTGTAAATTCTTCTTAAAAAAACTTATCATAAAATTATTCCATTTTATTGTTAGATTCTGGTTCAGAAAATTTAGAAATTTTCGTCAGTAAACTTTAATCGCTGTGTTGATTGCGCAACGTGCAATTTTATTGCCACGGGATGAAAAATACTGTGAGTAAGCGATACAAGAAATAATTTTTAATAAAACTGTTGTCTTCCTCCCAAATATCAAATAATAAATGTCGGGGAATGGTGGTTCAAAGCTCCATTCGAGTGTCTGCCATGGGAGGTGAAAATGAAATGGCAGACTTGTTCATGGAACTTGCGAAAAGGAAGATAAATGCTTGTTTAAGTTCGAGGCGTTGTACGTGACGAATTCTAGGGGCGTAGAAACAAGTCATAAAACCATATACAATTTGTGCAACTTTAGCTTGACTCTATCTCTAGATGATTACATATTTATTTCCGTGTGTGTATATATACTTTCATATTTGTTCAAGTATTAATTCACATTCTATATATTTATTCGTTGCGTATATTTGTTCACGTATTGAAAGACAAAAGTGTTACAGATGGAGAAAGAATAAATAGACGAGTAAATATTAAATAAAACCGTCCAAAGAGATGAAGAAACACAGTAGTGTCTGTCGCTTGAACAAAAAAGAAAAAGAAAAAAATATCAAAAGGATTTAGCAAAAAAGACACGATTTTTTTCCTTGCTACGAAAAAAATCTTCCACGCGAGCGTTTTCGCGTTCAGAACAATCGTCGAACGTTAGAGACGCGGTATTATCAATACCGACACCGGTGACAAACGTATTCGACTTAGAGTCGGCTAATTTCCATTACGTTCCGCATAGTATTTGCATGGATTAGAGAATCAATAGATAGATTTCGTTTCGACGAGAAATTCCCGCGGTTCGAGGACATCTCGCTGAATTTCCATTATCCTATTTGCCCATCCGATCGATCAATTAATATTAATCAGCGGCGAAGCTTCGTTCGATAATGAATTACAAATCTACGCAAAACGTGTTAATCGTTTCGTAAAAATGATGAATTGTCAGAGCGTCGGAAATATTGTTACTCTTAATATTGGAAAATCTTGCCTCGATTTTTTTTTTCTTTTTCTTTGTTTTTGCTTTTTCCTTTTTTCTTTCGTTAGAAAAAGTTATCGTGATAAATTAAGATTTACGACTATGAGAAAATGAAATGCAAATGAATCATATTGGTGCATTAGGCGATCGGCCGACAATGGAGAGCTGTTTGCAACAAGGGGTAAAAGGGAGAAAGGGGGACGAGCCGATACGACGCGACGTTTATCGTTATCAGAAGCGTCTTTACTGCGCCGCTTCTTCGCCTTCTATCCTTGTTCACGAACGCGTACATAGTTGTTAGACGAGAATGCGCTACTGTCGTGGTATAAATACGAAAAATACTGCTCTAATTTTCCTACGACATTTACAACAGTGAATGATGACAACTTGAATGGTTATACGCTTATTTGCAATGGAGGAGAAATTTGAAAGAGAATGGAATTTAATGATTTTTTAAAAATAATCTTTCAGCAGAATAATAGTATGTCACTAATGATTCTGATTGACTTCTCTGCCTGACTATTTTGTCTGTTACATTTAACCTCTTGCGCTGGAATGACGTGCCACGCGAAATTTTTCTCCCAAAATTGCAATATTTTCTCAGTTCCGAGTATTTTAATTGTAGTATTTAATTCCAAGTATTATAATCGAAGTATAACCCAAAACAAATAATAAATTTGTTAATTTACTTCTCAATAATTTCTATCCAGTGATATCGTACCGACGAGTTTAAAAAGAAAAAGAAAGCGACGAGTTATTGTACACGGTTTGGTCACTCGTTACGGTCCGCAATCAATTGCCAGCGCAAGTGGTTAAAAAACCGCCCGTTATACATTGCTTTGTCTATTCTATAAAATCTTGATTTATCTTTGAAATTTGAACCTCAACATCCGCTCTGTTACGCGAACATTATCTTAATATATAGTACGAGTACGAAAAGTTCCAATTTCAAAAATTCCATAATTTAGATAAGATTTGAACCTCGGTAGTCAACTGTCGTCAAACACAAACGGATATTATATTCTCTATGATACTTCTATTCTAGTTCAGCTCGCTTTAAATTCGTCGAGTGTAAATCGGACGTAGGTTTGTACCCGATCCGAGGAACAGAACAGGTTGAATCGTTCGATGTAATGTAACAGAAACGTGGGCGATCGACCAGCGTAATTCGAAATCGAAACGCAGATATTCCGGGGGAGTCGAGCACCGATGCACGCGCGCCTCTTTTTTTTTCGTAATCGTACGCAATAAATAATGGCTGATGAGCGGCCCTGCATCTTATTGGCCGCGCCGATCGTTAACTAACAAGCATCCAGTATATAAACAAGCCGTCTGTTCTTGCACTTTCACTCGACGCCCCACGTGATCTCTAGTTTTCTTTTTTCCAACACAATACGGAAAGATTCTTTTTCTATCGGCCGGCCATCGCAGCGCTGCAACCGTTCCTGCTCAGCCGCTTTTCCTAGTTCTATGTGCGACCTCGGTTTTGGAGATCCATTTTTATGGAGATATGAAGATTTGTTTTTTAAAGATTGAATGATTTTTGATTTCTCTCTTCTGGCCATCGATTGGCTTTGGCTTGGAGATTCATTTTGTGGAAATCTAGAGATTCGTTTTCAAAATTGACGATTTTGATTTTTAATTGTTTAGTTGATGATCTAGGGAAAGAAATTAATGGAAAGTTTGGGATGGCTGAGCACTGCGAAACTTAGGGATTTTTAGGATTTAAAGTTGAGTACTGCGAAATTTAGGGACTTTTAGGATTAAGGTTTTGGGATTTAGAGTTGAGTACTCTGAAATTTAGAGACTTTTAGGATTAAGGTTTTAGGATTTAGAGTTGAGTACTGCGAAATTTAGAGACTTTTAGGATTTAGAGTTGAGTACTGTGAAATTTTGGGACTTTTAAGATCAAGGTTTTAGGATTTAAAATTGAGTACTGCGAAATTAAGGGATGTTTAGTTTATTGTCGAATTAAAGTAATGTAGTTTATTGTGGAATGTTTAATATATTCTTTCTTAAAGTTATTTAAGAACAGAGATTAAGAATTATTGAAACGAGCTTTTCACGAGCCAAAAGAATATGAAAATATTTTTAGGATAAATATATTTATAAAACGATTTGTATAATTGTATCTTCTGAAAGTGTAGATTCGAGGCATCTGAATTTTTAATATATTTTTTCTTCAATGATCCGTACAAGGATAGCTTCCCAAGGAAATTTTTAAGAATCACCAACAATACCTTCCTTCGATAATCTAAAAAAAAAAGCAAATGCTCGAACTATTCTTTAAAAACAGTGACTAGAGATTTACAAAAGCTTCTAAACTAATTTGAAAAATAACTTAAACGACAACCTATTGAATTAATATCTCAAAAAAAAAAAAAGAAAAAAAATACCTATACTTAGGCATGTACGTATACCACCATTATCGACTACCCAAGTGGTCAAAATAACCAATTTATGATTTTTTATAGTAATCTCGCGGACTTGCAATGTCGCGTGTGTGTTTTTTTTTTCGAGAGATTCGATTGATTTTTGAATCTTTTGAAGAGTTCATCTCCATCGTCGTATTATAAACCTTTGCCCTGTTACATTCTAATTCCTTCTTTCATACTTTGGTCCTCGGTAGTTCCAGCGTTAAAGATGCAGAACGTAGAAAGAGAAGAATTAATCAACTGGAACAATGAAGCGGGAAACAATAAAAGAATGATCGTTCGTTTTCGTCGTGACGGAGAAACGTCGAACGTTTCCACGTCAGGCTTTAGGAAAACGCAGAGAGTTAGGAAACGTGGACTCAGGGAACGAAAAATTGGAGAAAAACGACATTTTGCGTTCGCGGGCGTGTAAGCGAGCAGCCGCGCTTATTTACATAACAATCGCGGATCACGTAACGCGATGTTCGCGCGGCGTGCTCCTCGGTTCTCGCGTGCGCGTTCGCCTTTATCCGTGGCCGTCGCGAGTCCGACGTGTGTGCACACCGCGACGTGGAAAGTCGTGCAAAATCGCCTTCTCGTTGCGCGACCGCCTCCGCTCTGTCTTCGTGAAACGATGGCTTCGAAAGCGTGGCCGAGATCACTTCCGACATCAAAAAATTTCATTCGACGTTCAATTGGAATTTTTCGCCCCAAAATTGCGATATTTCCTCGGTTATAAATATATTTATAGTATAGTATTATTATAGTTACAAATATATTTATAGTATAGTATATTATTATAAAAATATATATAATTAAATATTTAATAGGCAGAATAAATTTATTACATCTTGATCATTTTTATCCAATGATATTACATCGACGAAAGTTCAAAAAGAACGCGACGGATTATCGGTACATCGGTACGGTTTTGTGGTCACTCGTTATGGTCCGCAATCAGTTGCCAGCGTAACGGTTCAAATGAAAAGTTGTTACAAGAAGATTGTTAATTTTAATTCTGTTTCATTAATCGAACCACTGAGATTTTGAAGATTCACTAATTTGGATCGAATTGAATCATTTTGAAGATTCACTGATTGAAAATCTTTCTTCGCGTTCTTTTATTTTCATTTCATCGATTCCGATGTAAATCGACTGCGAAATTAAAACGGAATGTCCACTCAAAGGGCTTTAATTCAGAATTAGCCTCGAATTAATTTAGTCTAATTAGAATTCATTTAAACTTCTTCGTCACGCAGTTTGACTTATCGTTAGGCATTTGAATTGTATCGAATTCAATTCAAATACGATTGACACGTAACTCTAACTTGAAATAAGCTCTAGCCCGGAAGTAACCTTCTTTGGATTTGAATTCAATTCAACTTGATTCGCGTTGAACTTAGAAATCTAAACGCGAGACCAGCCTAAATTCTTCGAAAAAAATATAATTTGAATTTTAAATTTGACTCCCGCTTAGAAATAATAGGCTAACCCAAGATTAAATCCAACGAAATACAGAATCAAATTTCGAAACTAACTTGCTCGTCTCAGTTAAATTTCTTGTTTCTAACTGTTGTACAAAATTTACATTCCCAGTTCTAGTTTTCATATCTTAATAACTTCTGAGATATTTCTTTTTTTTTTTTTTTTTTGCTTTAATCGCTTAACATTGAGACCGAACGATGCTTATGATTGCTTCAATGTCTCGCAGAGTCAGAACAAACAACTTGGCACGAAACGACCGTTTAAAGAGCTAAATTGCTGTCTTCATTTATCGACATTATCTAGCCATGCTGCTTAAGTCAGAGATAACTTCAACAGTTTGCTAAGTCCTTTTCTGTGTTTCTTTTACTTAAAATTATTGAAATGCCCACACGCTTCGCATAACTGGAAGAATGTTTACATAACAGCAGGATTCTTCCAACATGAAGTATCGCGAAAGGAAAAATTTAATTTTTAACGAAAATTGCACGGTATTACGTAAAATTAAATACTAATTGAACTAATTTTTCTATTAACCTTACAATACTAACTAATTCTTTTTGTTTATCGAAGAATTTACTATTGGGAACGTTTCATACCAAACTTCAAAATGCAATGATAATCCACTGCATTGTTCATTTTTCTGTAACTGCAATAGAGTTTAATTTCTTTGTAATAAAAATACAATTAAATCCATTGATCGAGTAATTATTCAATTATTCAGACAACTGTTGGCAGTACATTTTTATTAATCAATCGAATTTATATAAATCCACCAATCAAAGACGTTACATGTGTAATTTTTACTCCATTTTCAAAGAATCAGGCTTAAAACTCTCAAGTATCGAGCGTCGTACGTTGTGAAGCTCGCGTTTCCATTAATTTCAATTAATTTCAATTTCCACCCACCGCGCAGGGTCTGAAAGATAGAAACGCGGCGAAAGAAAGTTTGCCGGTAGTTTTCGTCTTTATCGAGCAAATGGACGCCTGCTCACGGCCGTGTGGCGTGTGAGCTTGAACTTGAGATGGTTATACCTAAACGCGCACGTAGGTAGGTACGCCTAAGTACCTAAATACCCGTGCGCGACGTTTACGCGTTCGTTGCACGAACGTTGCTCGGTCTCTGCTTGCACGTTGACCGAATTAATGAAAAAAAAAAAAAAAAAGAAAAGAAAAATCAGCGAACATTCTTCAGCCCNCGCATCTCGCGAATTGATAAAATCTGATAATGAAAAAAAAAAAAAAAAAAAGAAAAGAAAAAAAGAAACCGGGCTGAAGAATGTTCGCTGATTTTTATTTGCTGAATTTGATGAAACTCGAACTCTTTTTCCCAAATGTTTCGCAGCTATTTGAAAAGAGTAACGCGAGTAATTGCAAGACCAAATGCAACAGAGATTGATCTGTATTTGAGTAATAGAAATTTAGGATAACAGAATGAATGCTAAGTTGTTTGTTTAAATTTTCAATGATTCAACTTTTCTTATGTAAACAGTTTCATAGATTAAAGATTCCCTTCTAGTAAGACGTAAAGAGACACGTCAGTCTTTTTCAATTTAAGTCGAGGAGTTGGCGAGACTGCCAGGGACAATTTTCAACATAATATGTTCGCATATCAGTGTCAAATTGACGCGTTGATAAATATGGGCTTCTTTGATTGATGTCGCGTTTTGAGCAAACGGTCGATACCGAATTTAGTTTCAGAATCAGGGAATCAAAAATAGTAGGAGTGAAATCAATTCTCCTATTGACGTTCGATATTCAATAAAACAACAGTATAGCAGCTTTCAAGGTACCGTTGCAAAGGGGAAACTTCAAACTCGAGGACCATTAAGGTCTCGAGGACATTAAGGTCCTGTCCCATCTAGTCATGAAAACAATTTGTCAACCATTTCACGGACGTTCAAACTTGACGAAAGCGCGTCTGAATGGACCGCCAAGGTGAGACTGTTTATTTATCAATCGAAGTTACGTCAATTTCCCAGCGAGTGTGCAAATAGTTTCGCCCCAGTTTCGGCTAAGGTTGAACGAGTCGGATCGGTTCCATCGTAATTCAAAGTGCGCCCGTCCGCGATAGAGCCGTCTCGTCCTCGCCCCCTCGATAATTTTTTTTTTTTTTTCTCTCTTTTCGTTCTCCTCGTTTCTCGCCGCTTTTCACCGGGGGATAATCGTTAAAGCAGGTGTCCCCGACGAGCGTGGGAGAGCGGAGCGCCACCCAGCGTAAACTCCCAGCCCATTACTATAACGAACGCCAAAGCGTCGCCATGGCGACCCATGGAGAAACACACACGTGGGGTTGAACAGCGGCCCGCTCCCGTTTTTTCTCTCTGTCGCACCCTCTGGCCGTTTTCCCTCACTTCTTCACCCTCCGGTATTCACCCTCTTTCAACAGCCACAGCAACGAGAGAGCTCTCCTCTCTCTCTCTCTTTCTCTCTTTTTATCGTCCCTCGCGTTCCTCGTTTCCTCTCTCATCCTCTTCCTCGTCGTCGTCGTCGTCGTCGTCGTCGTTGCTCCCTCGGTTCTTTATATACTCTTGGCCAAGCACGGTGTGGGCTCCGTGCTTTTTGCAGCCAGTCTCTCTCACCCTCGCCGCTTCGACCTCTTTCGAACCACAGCCGGAATATCTCCGACTAGCCGTCTCTCTACGCTTTGTGAATTAAAGCGCCGAGAATGAGCCGGGCAACGTTGCCATGGCCACCGGCCCGGTTGCCATCGCGATACCCGCGGCACAACATAAAATCGCTGGTTTGACGATTTGTTTCGGGCCATTGATGCCACGTATCAGAATCAATTTCACCCACCTTCGTTCGCCTCTCTCTCTCTCTCTCTCTCTCTCTCCCTCTCTCTCTTTCTCTTTCTTTCTCACGATGCCCCCCTGTCTATCTATGTGCGCGTACACGTACACGTCGGGGGCGTAACTAGTGCTACCGGGGCAAAGTCAGGAAGATTCTATCGAGGGATGACTCGATGGTTCCTCGCGATGGTGCCTGAACGTAAAATTCGATAGAGCAATTCGACGGAGCTGTTCGTTTGCTCGTCGATGCAAGTATAATATCTACATTGGCTCCGTTGACCAATTAACCTCTTGCGCTTGAATGTCCAATTTTTGTCCCATTTTTGCAACATTTTCCGAGTTTTCAGTATATTTAAATGTAACACCGGGCGAAACAAATGATAAGTTTATTGCTTCTTAATAATTTCAATCCAGTGATGATGTACCGACGAGTTCAAAGGAAAAAGAAAGCGACGAATGAATTGCATACGGTTCGGTCGCTCGTTATGGTCCGCAATCAGTTGCCAGTCGCAAGTGGTTAACCTCTTTGCGC